CTAATCTATAATAAAAACATCAACTGTGCATTGTGTTGTTACCGAACCATTTAAATGTGTGAAATGCCCACAGTCTAGTAATTTATTTAGAATTAAGTCTTAGGTCTTGTTTGATCGGTGAAAGACTTTCATAAGTGTGCCTTGTTTGCAGCAATATGTTTTTGCTTTCTGTAGCAGCCACAACACAAGATGCAGTAACAGAAAGAACACTAGGGTAGTGTCTTTTGTCTTTAGGCCTAATGGAACTCTCTAATTATGGGGATTAATGATTAAAAATTACCCTAAAATTGAAAGAAAAAAAACATTTGTCTCTCGTTTATGTGCATATGTGTTCTATCTTGGGCTGAGGTATCACTCAAGTAGCATCCTGAGCATTGTTCTTGTACAGTCCTTACAATTATATCGTGGTTATTGGGTTCTGAACACAGCAACTATTTTCAACAAAGCAAGTTTGTGGTGATTTTTTTTCTTGCAGCATAATCTAGAAAGAAGCACCGAAACAATCAACCAAAAAGATATGACACAAAGTAATTTCCATATCATTTTTCTATGGAAGACATTTGGCACGAACCTTTTCCTTCTCCTTCTCTAGATTCCTTCTGTCAGATTTGCTATGCACAGCAAGCTCATCAAGGTGCTTGGATTTGAGCTCAAGAACCTGCATCTCCTGCATCTTGCAATCCAGTTCCGAACGGACCTTCTGATTCTCATCGATAATCATCTGCAAGTGCCGACGAGCAAGTTGCTGCATCTTGTGGATTTCTGGTGGCAATGCAAGTTCAGAAGGTCCCAATGCTCAAAGCAGAGAAATGCATATAAACAAAGCACATAAAAAAAATTTGCGATGGAATCAGAGCACATATAAACAGAAAGATTTTGCTTGGATTTTGCTCCTTCTCCTCAATCACGTTGTCCATTGATGTAGTCCTCTCACTGTACTTAGATTCGAGTTCCTGGACATGCTTGGCCTTCACCTCAATCTGGCTGGCCAAATTGGCCACCAGCTTGTCGGTCTTGTCGGTCTTTGCAACAGACTTCAAATCGCCATTCCTCTGAAGGTACTTCCCGACCAGCCCCAGCGTCCGTCGATCGTCGGCCCTCGCAACCCACCCAAACATCTCCGGCGCTCCTCGAGACCTGCTCGCCTCCCAGCCCAGTTTGCCACGGCCCCGCGCCTCGAAGTGGTTCTCGAAGCTGAAGGCGTGGCCGAGAGAGGCGTACTCCTTCCCGAACTCGACGATGGATTTCCCGGTGTGGCCTCTGTGGCTCCACAAAGGCACGACCTTGTGTGGGCAGAAGGCGGCGAGCTGCTCCTTGAAGCAGTTCCCCCTCTCCCTGATTTACCGCCCACCTCTCCGCTCAGTGGGCACGTTGGCCAGCACCCCGATCCACGGCCACATGAAATGCTCCTCTCTGTTATGGACAGGACTAGGCTCCGCGGCCGGCGGCGGGTCCGGCATTTCGTCCTTCACCCACTTGGTGAGGCAGCGGTCATGTCCATTAGCATGTGAGCATGCTACAACTGCGTGACGCCGACGCAGGGTATCGCTGCTGCTGCTGCTGCTCCGGTCGCACCTCCGGAAACCCCCTGCCTCGCGAATCCTACCGAAATCGGAAAAGCAGAGACGCTCAATTGCAGCTGCCTCCCCGGATACGAAGCGAAATCTGGAGAGATGGAAAGATGGAAAGAGGTACCGCTCATCAGGTGCCTCGTCGGAATCCATGGACCCGCGCGGCTGCTGGCCAGACCGGCGCCGCCTTCCGCAGACGCCAACAAACTAACCAACCTAGGGTTGTAGGGTAAGGCCCAATGAAGATGAGTCAGTCCAATGTAAGTCCGCGGCACCGTTGGGTCCAGACTCCAGACTGTTGAAACCATTTAACGAACACCCGAGGCGGCTAGGTTTTCTGGTCACAGGCAGCAAGGGAAGGGTGCATTGGAGGGCCGAAGCTTAGGAAGAAGATTTTGGTAGATGTACGAGCAACCATCGTCATCGTCATCGTCAAAACAGAAGAAGAAATGCAAGGAATTACTCGATGATGGATGTGTGCATGCACGTAACCTGCTAGTGTAACAGACTCGGTAGCGGCAAGACTCTGATTTACTCCCTCCGATCCTAAATATAAGACCTTTTAGGGATTTCACTATAGACTGTATGAGATGATACCCCGTGCGTTGCTGTGAAAAATATTGCCTAAAATTGATGTTTTACTCATCAACTGACTCCTAAAAGGACAAAGCGATGAATAAATGATTCTTATTTGAACATACTTTAGAATGATAGATAGTTAAGTAAGATAAAACCTCCAACTTATATCATTCAAAGCTTGGACAATACGAACAATCGGAAAGAGAATGGTTAAACCTTTTCAATATATGCTACCATCTCCACTATCTCTGCAAGTGGAATAAACTATCAAGCTGCAGCTAAAACATGAACACCTAGCTACAACCCTAAGTCTTGATTGTGCGCAATCTGCATCATAACACCCATGTACACTTACTTTAATCGATCCCAAAACAGGAGATAAACAGATGTCATACAAATGTCATTAGTCCAGATAGAACCTAACGGCTTTGGTCTTCTAAATATATATAGTGTTTAGTTGTACCTGCACCAGGAAGCTTCCTCTTCTGACAAATTCTGTGCATTGGATAATAACATAACACTACAGAAAAAAAACTGTCATTATGCAACTTGATCACTCACTTCGAGAGCCAAAAATAGCTCAATTACATAGATTAATGCATCAGTAGGATAGAGTCAGGCATCCCACTGAACACGTTGCTTTCACTCAAAGTCTGAAATTCACAATTGGTTGATTCTTCATAGAGTGTTTCTTTCCGCCGGGGGAGGGGGGAGTGTGTTAACACAGAGAGTAGAGAGAGAAACTTATTGAGAGAGAGAGAGACGGAATTAACAGAGAGAAATTGTCTAGTCCACCGCCGCCTAGCTCGGTCATGGCCCCACTTTTGTGTACCTGCTATCAAAAGAGAAGGATTAGTACAGTGCCCTTGGAATCAACTGGGAGACAGGATTAGCACCAGCACAACCCGCCGGTGCATCGCACGCACACCCGGATGGTACACAATACACACGCATGCTCAGCCATCCAGCGAACAACACACACGCCAAAAAAAACGCATTACTGCTGCAAGGATTGTTGAGATTTTCCAGACAGGCATACACGATCGATTACAGAAACCACATATTGGAATTTAAGGCAAGGATATCCAAGTACTGTTGGAAGGATTGTTGAGATGACAACCCAAACAGGCATACATGTCGTCAATTACAGAAACCAACTACTCGAATGGACATATGCAGAACTTAAGCTCGGCTAAGACCTCATGGGCGGTCCTTTTGGACGCGCATATCATGAAGACAAACCCAAACTTGTCCCAGTATTTCGCATTCCATTCTGACAATTCCTGCAACAAACAGTTTGAAGAAACCAGCCAAATTGAGTACATAAATCAGATCTGATCAATCATATCACAGATGCAAGGCACCGTATGACTTGCGCGGTGGAATCAGTAGTTGTGGAAAGTACAGCTGAATGCTCGTCCTTGCTTCATCTGTAATGATGACTGATGGCCTGATGATGAAGTGACGAACTAACTGATACCAACAGACATAAGAAGAACTAATCTGCGGGAAACGGACTTGGAGACGACGCGGGAGGTGGTGCTATTGTGTGGGTGGGCGGCGAAGGCCTCCAGCCATCCAGTCACATCCACCAAGTTTGCTGTTCGTTCCCGGTCGCACACATGGCCGGCACGGAGCACACACACCATCTAGAGAGATCTAGA